TTTTTTTTTTTTTTTTTTTTTTTTTTTTTTTTTTTTTTTTTTTTTTTTTTTTTTTTTTTTATCATCACTACTCTTCTCTGTTTTTGTTTATTATTTTTCTATTACTTCATTTTATTTATTCATTTCTTTTTTTGTCTTTTTTTTTTTTTTTTTTCATCTCTATGATTTTTAAAGTACTGATTTTATTGTCTGTACTACCACTCACTTTTTTGATAATATTAAAACGAATTGAAATTGTCCTGATGATGAATACATGAACATTAACATGAAACGAAGTACACGAAAGACAGTCTAACTTATGTAACTGAGCTGATACACCTTACGAGTACATCGTTAGATAAGTGGCGATGTTGTACGGTAAGATGCTGACGTAGCTCGGCGTGGGCGGCCGGGGGCTATGCCACTTTGGTCAAAGGGAACGCAGTTTCTTTATGCCGGCTGTCACGTAGCGAGCAAGGTCTGAGGGCGAACTGCGTGGCGACAGTGGACCTAGTGTTTCGTCCAACTGGATGAAAAAGTCTGTAATACGAATGATTAGCGGTTAATTCATAATTCGTCAACTCATCAAGAATACGCTTCGTGGGAAGATAGTCTTGTATAAGATAAACTTACCGCGATGTTTATCGGTGACGAGGGAGCAGGCCTTCTCCCACTTGTCATGCGCGCTTAAAATCATGAACATGTCGTCGTGAAGCTTGTGCATGAGATTATAAGTGTGGAGAGGCACACTGGCACACGTGTGGGTATTAATTGGTACCGGCATCTGGCCATTGGCTAAGCTGCGATTGGCAAGTTCGCCGCTACTATAACCACTGCTTTGACTACCAACCGAGCCCACAGAGCCAGCTGGCGAGGGTGTAGGCGATAACGATGGAGTACCTTGATTTGGCTCCGACTGTATCAGTTGCACCTGCTGCAGAAGTGACGGAGTTTAATATTTTGTAAGAAAATAGTTGCGAGGATAGTTTTCAGAACCAAATTTGTTAATTACTTTAGCAAAGTATCTCCCTAGAGTACCCCAGTTTTCTTTGATTTCGGTTTTTCTGAGGGAGTACATTTTCTGGTATATCAATGCCTGGCACCAATAACTGAAAGAAAGAGAAGAAAAAAAATAATTAGTTGTCGATCCGCGATTAGTTGTGGAGAAGATGACAAATATATCCACTCCGTTGTAAAACTAGTTGGTTATAATATACTAACCTAAAGATAAGCAGCTTCGTGTGAATCTCACTTTCGGCTGAATTATTTTCGTGCGGGTTGAATTTTGTTGCAATGAATCTGAAAGAAAGAAAAAGATTGTGAGTACATAAAGAATCCACCAGGCGATGAATGTAAAATTTAATGTGACGGGCCAACGTAGCTGTTTTTAAAATTAAAATAAATACTCACTTGATAATGGAAAGAGTATCTCTGTACATGCGAAAGGCAGCTCCAGCAGATATGTGTGCATGAGCAGATTCCATGGCCTGGCCTGTGAGGATAAAATAAATTGCACCTTCGAGGTAGAGTATACATTGCGTCGTAACGTCAGCCTCCTCGTCTGCACTATGCTTTAACCGCTTGGCTTCGGCCAGGTATTGCTCATGATACCTATGTTAACAATTTTTGAATTGATTATTCGCAAACTTTAAACTTTCTCACTGTCATTAATTTTTGTCCACTTGTTCGTCTAAAATACATTTAAAGTGATCGCTGTGAAACTTACATGTCTTCGGACAAATCATTCGGCTGGGAGTAAAAATTTGAATAGAAAACACGCTGAGGTTGCAGAGGCTGCAGCGCCAGACCCATGTCGGGATTCGATTCCCGCTCGTGATTCGTCGGCAGTACATCGTTCTACAATATGAAAAGTCAGATGAACAATAAATTTTTCAGCTCTTGGCGATTGTGAAACAAAAAAAATCAAAGAACGCTGTAAGCACCTGACTGGACGAAAACCTAATGTTTTCGAGCTCCTCGAGTTTCCTCTTCTTCTTTTTCTTCTCATCCTTGATCTCGATCTTGACTCTCGTGTCTAGACTCGAGACCGAACTGCTGCTTGCCTTGCGATTCCTCTTTGATGCTTTACGAGCACCGTTGCTAATATCATCGTTTCTCGGCTTGCCCTCGAGCAACTTCGTGTCACTTGACTTAACGTTCTTAGGCTTGGACTTGATCATAATCGAGCGACTGCTCTTGCTACTGCTGCTCGCACCTTTCCTACCACCGTTCGAGTTGCTCGAGCTACCGCTGTTCTTGATGTTTGGATTTGGGCTCGAGTCGCTGTTCTCGGCACGTCCGGAGCCTGGCATCGACTCGACGATCTCGCCCTCCTCAGGCGTCGAGGGTCTCTGCTTTTTAATCTGACTCGAGCTCGATTTTTGCCTACACGCGAGAAATCAAGGAGATGTTAGTTAAACGAAAAGAATTCCCTCATATCTGATAGAGTTAAATTTTTGTTTTTGCACTCGAAAAGTACCTAGAGGACGGCCTGGTGTTGGGCATCTCGGTTCTCTGTCTCATCTCTTGGCCCTTGGACACTAGGGACATGCAAGGCAGCTTAGTCAGATCTATCTTGCAGACCATTCTTGGCGTAACATTTTCATCAGTCATGGGAAGTACGGGGGTGCTGCTCGAGGATGGGGGCAATTGGTCCTGTTGCTGCGGCTGCGGCGGTTGCTGCTGCTGCGGCTGGGGGGGTTTCTGCTGCTGCTGCGGCTTGGGGGGTTTCTGCAGCTGCTGCTGCTGCTGCTGTTTGTCTTCGTGACTGACTTGACTGCTGACCACTGTGGCAGCCGGCGCGGTAGCTGCCGGGGACGGCCGGCGCTTGTACGGGCTCTCGCTGCGCGTTGGCGTGTTCCCGGTGTATTCCTCGACGTAGATGCCACACTTGCCGCCACCCTTGCCACCTTTGCCGCCCTTACCACCCTTGCCTCCTTTGGCACGAGAATCGACGAAGAGACGGCGCAGGGCACTCTTTTTGTTGTCCTGAGCGACAACACCGCCCTTACCACCGCCACCTGTTTCTTTTTGAGCTTTAACGGAGGCCGGACCGTTATCACTGTCCGAGTTGTTGGTCGAAGTTGCGCGCGTTGGCGGTCGCCGTGGCCTCGGTTGCACCCGAGCAATCTATTAATTTTCGTTTGATCAGTAATATTATTAGATATTTCATTGAAAGAAAGAGAAAAAAAAAAAAAAAAGAAAATAAAAGAAAAAGCACGCACCTTTCGGTTGGTCCTATGGGTAATTTCTGACTCACTGTCCGACTCCGAGGGACACTCCGAGACTCGAGTAACCCGCGATCTTCGCCTTTTGGGCTTCACTTTCGTAGTCCTCTTCTTCTTGTCCTGGACCTTCTTCGACGATTCGCTTACCTTTCTACTTCGCTTTGCCTGTGGCAACCTACAAACAACCAATAAATTAACAACACCGCACAGCCTCCTTACGCTCATCGAGACTTGCAAACACAATTGGATCCTCGGCTGACAGCTCGGTCGAGCCAATGCTTCTAGATCGTAAATGTGTGCAAGACATCAAAAAACAATACTCTCAATGTAACAACAATTACACACCTTCCCAAACACGCGTCATCCTCGCGCGATCGTTTACCCCGCTTGTGCTGTTGCCTCTCATCGATGGCTTTCTCGTTATCGAGTCCATGACTATCCTCGCCGCTACTCGACAACTCCAATCTCGGCCTTTTGTGCCTCTTTCCTCCGTTTGCGGGAGACGCGGCGCCAGTCTGGGACAGAGACGATGGCGCGACGGGCCTACGCGCGATCCCTGCCGGCTCGGAGTCCGAGTCGCTGTAGATTACTCCACCGGCACCATCGGCGCCCCGTCGATCTCCGTCACTATCCTCCTCGCTGGTCGTCGTCGTCAGAATAGGTTTCGAGGGCGGTGGTGGCTTCTTGTTACGCCGGGCAGAGGGACTGCTGCCCTGGTTCGTGCGCTTCCTACTGCGCTTCGTTGCCGCCAACTTGGTCGACTCCTCGGCGTTGCTAGTGACTACGGACTGGGACTGGACTACGGCCGGAGCGGCTTTCGGGTTATTGTCCGTTTTGCGCGGCCTACCCCGTTTTCGCACATCCACGGGCTTTGGTTTGTCCTGCTGCTTCGCCTGTTTCGAAACATTTTTTTTATTATTATTATTTTCCATCAAACTTTAGAAAATACTTGGGTACACCTACGAACGTGCGATTGCCGCCGAACTACACTATTTCAATAAACACGTGACCGATACAAGTCACGCAGAGGTATTATTGAATTACGAGCATAAAAAGAACAACCGACTCGTGGGAACAATGAACGTCAATAGTAAACATTTCGTGTAATTTGACGACCAATCGACATTGAAAGATCAACAAACCAGTCTACTTTACGCGGAAATGAAACACAAAACAAGAAACAAGTAGGTGTCTGTGTAAAACCCGTACCTGTGGCCTGGACGAGGACGACGGTTGCTGCTGCTGCTGCTGCTGCTGTTGTTGTTGCTCGTTGCTAGGCGTCTTGGCCTCGGCCTCGCTGCTCGGCTGTTCGCTCTCGCTGAGGCTACTGCTCAGCCTCCACTCCTTGGTCTCCGAGTGCCTCGAGGAGCGCCTCTCCGGCTCCACGACCGGCGCCTCCTCGCGCCTCGCGACCTCCTCCTTCTTCTTGCCGTTATTGCCAGCGCCCCCGGTACCCCCGGCGCTCACCGACTTGCCACCGTCGCCGTTCTGCGGCTCAGCCTTAACCAGGAACGAGCCCAAGTTCCACCTGGGCTTGGACTCCTCGACCGCGGGCGGCAGCTCCTCGACCGGCGCCCCGCCCGGCGACCCCACCACAACCGGGGGCGTAGTCGGGCCCTTGCTCGACGCGTTGTTGTTACCGGTTGTGGCCGTCGCTGCCCGATCGCTGCTCTGGCACGGCTCGCTCACCTCCCCGTCGCTGTCGTCGTCGGTCGAGTCCGAGCCGGAGTCCGAGCCCGAGTCGGAGGACGAGCTCGCGCTGCCCGAGCTAGCGGGCGCCTCGCCAGGTGGGCTCGGCGGTCTTTGGTGCGTCTGGTTATTGCTGGCGTCGACGGGACTATCGGCCGCGTGCCTCGGCTGGGTCGGGGCGGCCGGCTTCGGGCTCGGTTTGGCCGCGAGGCTCGACTGTGCTTGCTGTTGCGAGGGACCCCGTGCGTTCGCCGGGGACATTGGGCCCATGGGCGACATGGCCATCGGGGACATCGGGACCATGGGGAGCGGCGCCGTAGTCATCTTCGGGATCAGCGGCGCCGTAGTCACCTTCGGGATCAGCGGCGCCGTAGTCATCTTCGGGATCAGCGGCGCCGATAAACTGCAAGTAAAACACCAAATTATACCCCTACTCCGTTTCACCAAGGTCGCGAGGTGTCAATGTTTCAATCGATGAGCATGTATACAGGCGCAACGTTCAAAAGCGCGCCGATGTGTTACGATGTGTTATGCAACCCGACGATACAAGCGTACGAGCATCAGTGCCCATATCACGGGGTACAGGAGGTATAATATGTGTACGGAGGAGCGCGGAGATGGATGTACCTCGTTGCTCACACGTAAACACGCCCACTAATCACGATTGATCCGATTGCTCCCTTCCCTCTGTGCATCATACATAGTGTGGTCGTCTTCGTCGCCCGATCATCGTGCAGACATACACACACGCGGAGCGTAATTAATATCAGTCGAGCAATTTGAACGCGCGATCGATCAATTTCACTCCCTCCCTGTGTACACCCTCTTTTTTTTTTTTTTTTTTTTTTTTCCCTCCTCCTCCTGCTCCTGCCTCGACTCCCGGCAGCTTTTCCGCGCCGTCGATTTATCGCTCGCGCGCCTTCGCGACGTGTCCGACATATTAGACACCTCAAGGGAGCGTCTGTTGCATTGTGTGTGCGCGCACGTTTTTAATATGCAGATACGCCGTTCGCCTCACAATCAATCGATACATAATCGACGGGCTTTTCGTATTTAAATGAGAGGCCGAGCTCCCTCCATCCATGCGTGTGTGTTTGTATTGTGTGCAGATGTACGCGCGAGTCGTTTGGTGTGCCGAATGGATTGATCGATGACATAAAAACGTATAGGCGATGGGTATGCCGGCAACTTGAAATTTGTATGGGATTTGTCGGGGATCTTGCGCTTCTGATGTGTAGCGAATTTTTTTTTTTTTTTTTTTTTTCCACAAGCTGTTAAATTAGAAAAGAGAAAACTCACTCGGCTGACATGGGGCTCCTTCCATCTCTCACTGGCCTTGAAGGTACCGTCTGCAAAGAGAAGAACAAACGTTTATTAATTTCTTATTTTCTTTTCTTTCGAGGCGCGACAATTCATCAACCAAACTCACCTTTGGAGCTTCATCGTCTTCGCTGTCCTCCGATAGACTCAAGTCTCGCTCCAGATCGCTGCAACATAAAAAACAAATTGTCTCGATTAAACGACCCGACCTTGTGAACGTTACGTGTATATACAAGTTCATCTGTGTTGTTGTTGTTTTTTTTTCTTTTTTTTTTCTTTTTTTTTCCACTCGGGGCAACAGCTGTAAGTAGATTTTCCATTAAACTCCCAAGCACTCGGTAATTTGTATAAAACCAACAATAAAGAAGAAAAAAAAAAAGAAACCTACGACAAAGACCGCGGCTGTACGTATATAGTATATAATTGTTCCCAACAACGTGGTAATCCGATACGCATCGGAGTTTCGCGTGAGACGATAAAATCTCGCACTGCCGACGGCCTTGTAGTACACCTCGGTTGGTTCTTTCAGCAACAACAATAACCCATAAGGATCGATAGAGCGATTTTTCGAGCCCGGCAAAAACAATGAAGAAATAACGTACACGTATCTCTCCGACTTGGTTTATCATCCCCCGGAATCTCATTTCTCTCTCCACTCCGAGCCCCCCCCCCCGTCTCTCTTTTCTCCCCCGCGTTCGAGAAATCAGAGAAAAAACACGCGAGGTGGTTTTTCTCGGGCGGCCGACGTGCAAAAAACGTTGAGGGTAACGAGAGCACGCTATACCCAAGGACCTTGAAGCGGTTCGATTTAATATTCGTCGCAAGAAAAAACGAGAAAAAAAGGACCAAGGAGATCGATACAGCAGTGTGATGCAAAGAGGAAAAAAAAACAGTACATGTTTTAAGAGCTGTGATGCGTGTTTATTGTTTAAATGGGAAACCTCGTCTCGTTGGGTACATATAAATATATATATGTTGGTGTATGAGTTGTACGGAAAAAAAGTGTGTCTCCGGCGTGGAAAACCGGTGCAAGCGACTGCGGTGGGCAAAAGAAAAACACAAACCAAAAGAGAGAAGGAAGGAAGGAAGAGGCGCGTGCGCTGCCTGACAATGCGGAGAAGAATATATGTGGATGGTTCTTTTTTTTTTTTTCTCTGAGGGGTTGCGGGCGTGCTCGTATATTTATGTGCACGGGCGAAATATGCGAGGCACGAGTAGGAGGACGTTAACGAGTGCTAGCGCCAAGGAGGGCGAATCGAGTTTTCGTCGCGTCGATTTGAAAGCCGAGGGAAACGCGGTGTATACGGGGTAAAAGCAGTGTCGTTCGCGCCAAAGGGTCTCGGAATGAAATTTGACTTTCGCATCTCGTTAAATTTACTCATTTTATTTTCTTATTTTTCTTCCTCCATCTCAAGAGGTAAAAGATACCTTAAATGATCGAGCCAACAACCGACAGCACACACACACAAAAAAAAAAAAAAGGCATGATCCATCTGCAGGAGACGCAGCAACGTTTTCTTCCTCAAAACGAAGGGAGGGGGTACAACCCTGTCCACTCGACCGTTAAATTAATCCGGGTAACCCCGATCGAGAAAGGATATGTTTAGCTTCGGGCGACCGCTAAACAATCAATAATCAAAAAACGTCAGGTGTGTATACCTGTGCTCCTCTTCGGTCTCGGTGCCTCACGTTGGTAAAAATCGACGGACGAAACAATTTGACGACGAGGCGGCAAAAAAAAAAAAAAAAAAAAAAAANACCGTGTGCTTTTCGCATGGACGTAATACCGCGTACTTTATCCAACACAATTAGCACGCAAATGGTTGTTAACGTGGCCGATAAATTGAAAACTTTACGAACCCGCGAGGTTTGACGTACCAATTGGGCATACCCCTAAATAGCGGCCAGTCTCAACGGGAGGCGAGATTACGATCTCGGTCGAAAAAATAATAATACCCGATAGCCGAGCTAAGGATCGAAGTGGAGTGGAGAGAAAAAAAGAGAGAATCGCAAACGAAACGGGGCATGGTGGGCACAGAGGGATGAAAATAAGGCATAATGCTGAAATTGATTCGCGGTGGTAGCTGCGGCGGTCGGCGACCCCGCCACTATATAACCTGCACTGCCGGCGTGTATAGTCGCTGATGGAGCGGAACGCGCGCACCCATCGGAGAGAAAGACACACACACACACACACACAGAGACTCTCTCGGAGATGGTGGGATAAAAAAGTAAAAAAAAAGTATCAAGAGAGAGAGACGAAAGTTAATTGCAGTTCCCGGTAGCGTGTGCATTATGCACGTTCGAGATAATATACGACACAGCAGTGCTGCTGCCTCGTCTTCCTTTTTTTTTTTTTTTTTTTTTTTTTTTTTTTGCTGCCTGGCTGGCAAATTCCACGCGAGTAGCGGAGATATATTTCACTCGAATTCGTATGCCCGCGGGTGTAGAAGAGGGATGGACGTACCCACGTAGGCTGATGGTGGAAAAATAAAAGAAAAAGGGGAAACAAGGACGCGTCTGCAACAATGTGCGTTCGAAGGCTCGAAAAATATAATGATCGCGACAATGAGCGAGAGAGAGAGAGAGAACTCGATGGCGCGATAAGAGAGAGATTTTGATGTGTATACAACGACGCCGCGGTCCTGATCTTGACGAATGCCAGAGACGTCACTGCACGCGGGCACGCACACTCGGAGAAAGAGGAAACGGGGATGGAAGGGAAGAGTCTTGGTTTGTCTCTGCGGAATTCACGGGAGGAAGATCCGTTTCCGGCCCAGAGGACGCGAGGCTTCTTAATAAGCATAATCCGAAAGAAGGAGAGCCGATGCTCTCCGGCTCCGTGAAAGAAGTAGGTGTACACTCCTGTCAAAAGATTTGACCTCCTCCTCCTCCTCTTTCCCTCCCCTGGGAGGCGGTCTCGCTTTGGCTTCTAGTATCAAAGGAGGAAGAGGGCTCGTACACAGCTATACGGTGCAAAGACCGAATCCTGAACGATGCTGCTGCAGTTTTTTTTTTTTTTTTTTTTTTTTTTACTTTTAACCGGAGAGCTGCTGCGCCTTAAATGTTTTCGCTTCGGTGGACTCGGTCTAGGCAGCTCACCGGCAAATATTTGGCGTCCCTGGTTTATGTACGGGATACCTACGACCGCTCGATCGATCGAATCTATCGAAAATGCTCGGGTTATCATTTTTTCCCTCCTCCGAGGTACCTGCTGCAGAAATGGATACACGTTGGACTTACAAAGCGTGCGCCGGGCGGTGATGTCTTTGTTTTTTTTCTTCTGCCCCCCCTTCTCCTTTTCGCCGAGGCACTTTTTGCGGGTTCCGTGCTTAACTCGCGGTAAATACTTGTACGCTGGTCTGTTATCTTTTTTCTGCTTTTTTGCTCGGCGCAGAGATATTGGGGAGCCTTTGCACGTCCAATCGTACGGTTATGATGCGCTCGGATACCGCACTCCGTTTACGAGGGGTGATTTACGAGAGCACCAAATGTTTTTTTACCGCGTCAGTGTGCACGTGTTGTTTCCAATTGAGTAATTAATTGGTGCTTCATTGTTTGGCAGAAGAAAAAACCGCCTCCGTTTTTTTGATGTAACTGAAAAGCTTTTCCACGGCCACGTTGAATTGCGCATAAATTCCACGCCAAAAGAAGGAAATATGGAAAGAGCAAGGGGTACACCGGGGAGCGCAAAAAAAAAAGGAAGAAACAGCATCGGTGGTGCGGCGCTCGAGATATATCGCCAACCTGTTGAGGCTTTTACCCTCCCCACCCCCTTTTTTTTTGCATTTTCGACTTGCTTGGCTCGGTCGAAATCTCGTATACCTCGTCTTTGGAAAAGTTAGTTCTCTAATGCCCGCACTCGAACAATCAAACGAAAAAAGGAGTAAATTTTTGTTTTCGCGACTTTCTTCCCCTGTACCGTGTTAGACATCGTGTTCGCGAATTCAGATGGATATCCCGCAAATTTTTCACTCCAGCCACTCCCCGCTCAGCTCGATTTTACATACGAGCCGGAGATCCAGAGAAATCCTTTCTTTCTCGCTCGATTCATTTTCGACCGAACGCCGCTCGGCGATGGAGATCGCAAAAGCCCGGGCAACGCGTACGGCTTGAAAAATGAAAGAAAAACAAGGAGGAAAGAAAATTACACACCAGCCATAGTATATATTATACGGGGGTTGAAGAGATGGAGGAAGGGCGATAAAAATCCCTACGATGCCCGGGCATTATTGTCCGGTGGAGCGGAAAAAAAAACCCACTCAGCTTTTGGGACAACGTAGCGAGACAGATCGAAGGTTATACAATATTTTAATTAGCAGCGAAAAAATGTGGGCTCACATCAAATCTAAGTATTTATCTCCGACGTTGGCACCTGCACTTTTAATTCATCACACGCGGCGCGATAATTAAACGTCACGGTGGTGGCGAATGATCAGCGAAAGGGAATCGAGAAGGAGCAAAAACAAGAAAACAATTGCGAGAGTGGGTAATGAGAAAACGAGGGTCGAGAGAGAGAGAGAGAGAGCGCGATGAAAGTTGAGATGTTGTGTTTGTACCAGCACCGCGCAATAACGGTATATGTATACCTACACTCCAGAGCTGTATATATACGAGGCCCGAATGGGGAAACAAGAGTCGGAGCGCGTTGAATGTACGGCGAGAGAAACAATGGGTGAACGACGCACGCGAGAGGAAGTACAGTAGCGTTTTTGAGTACTGCTGTAGTCATCGGTGATACGATTGCGCGTATGCGGGATGACAAAAATCATAATCAGACGTAACAATGCAACGACAATTTATCTCCAATGATGTGGTCACTTGACATACGTTGCTGTTTTGTTTTTTAATCATCATATCCTCGCGAAAATAGAGACATCGCGAGTAAAAAAAAAAAAAAAAAAAAAAAAAAGAGATCAACGGAGTCCCTCTTAGTGATGTGTATCCTGTAAATTAGCGAGAGGCGAGTACAAAAGCACCGCGGCATATATAGAAGAGAAAGCGCCAAAGGCCGATCGTAATATAAATCGCGGCTAATCGTGAGAAGGCATTCGATTCAGTTACATTACACGGTCGCTCGCGCTCTCTGCTTCTTCTTCTTCTCCTCTGCTCTGTATATCGCGGTGCCATGTATACATATATATACGGACGAAAGGAGAGGCGTGAC